TTCCACAAGAAATCGAAGCATTAAGGGAATTAAAAAATACAAAACATATAGTGATTAAGCCGGCTGATAAGGGGACAGCCATTGTCATTTTGGATAGGGAACAATATATTCTGGAAGTCGAGAGACAATTAAATGACGCCAATTACTATAAAAAATTAGAGAAACCCATCTTTTGGGACACGATCCCCGTAGTTGATAAAATTTTAAATTCATTAAAAAACAAAAAATTCATAAATAAGAAACAATACAATTATCTAAAAGGGGATTCAGAACCCAGGGAAAGAAGATTTTATATCCTCCCGAAAATTCACAAAGAACCTGAAAAGTGGACGATTCCCTTTGAGTTACCTCCCGGAAGGCCAATAGTCTCGGATTGTGGGAGTGACACATATTATACAGCAAAGTATTTGGATTACTATTTGAATCCACTCTCAATAAAACATCCTGCCTATGTTAAAGATACTTACCATTTTATGGAGATAGTCAGGAGTTTGAGGATCCCTTCCAATTCTTATTTGTTTTCTATGGATGTAAATAGTTTGTACACTAACATTGATATTGAGGCTGGTTTAAGGTCCATAAAAAATGCTTTTGCTCAATATCCTGATACCAAAAGACCAGACAAAGAATTATTACAACTGTTGGAAATTAATTTAACCAGAAACGATTTTATGTTCAATGGACAATTTTATTTGCAGATTAAGGGAACTGCCATGGGGAAAACATTTGCCCCAGCATATGCCAACATTTTTATGGCTCAGTGGGAAAAGGAAGTGTTGAGCAAATGTGAGAAAAAACCGACACATTATCTGAGGTATCTGGACGATATATGGGGAACTTGGGAGGGATCGGAGAGGGAATTTGAAGGATTTTTAGACATTTTGAATTCCCACGATCCATCGATTCAACTCAAGGCTGAGATTAATCAGGAGTCAATTAATTTTTTAGACACAACAGTATTCAAAGGACCAGATTTTCAAAATACACACCAATTGGAGTTTAAAGTCAGTTTCAAAACTACGGATACACATGCTTTATTACACAAAAATAGTTTTCATCCAAAACATACCTTTCGGGGTCTCGTTAAATCACAAATCCTTCGATTGAAACGGATTTGTTCACAGGAAAAACATTTTAAGGAAGCAACCAACATTCTTTTTGAGGCTCTACGTAAAAGAGGATATTCGAGATCCTTTTTACGGACAAGTTTGAAACAGTTTCTTGTGCGCAGAGAGAAAGATCAGAGAGAATTAATTCCACTCATTACTACGTACAGTTCAACAGGCAAAAATCTGAACAACAGGTGGAAAAACAATTTTCAAAATATTATCCAAAAAATCAATATGTTTCCAAATTCTAGGGTAATTTCAGCGTACAGAAGGAACAAAAATTTGAGAGATATTTTAGTTAAAGCCAAATTACCATCTTTAACAACAGAAAAGCCGCAAATGTTAAACGAGCAATTTTCCCGTTTAAAATTTGTTAAAAACAATAGGGACAAAACAATTTTACAGATTTCGCAGAGCTTTAGTCCAAGATCTAAAAATTGCATTTATGTATTGTACTGTAGTCAATGTAAACTAAAATATGTTGGAGAAACCAAAAATACTTTGTCTACGCGCATGACGCAACATAGATACAACATAAAGAACAAGAAGGAACAAGATACACCGGTGGTGAAACATTTTTTATTACATGGATGGAGTTCGGTGAGGATAGCTGGTTTGGAGAGAAATATTCTTTGGTCAGACTGGGAACGGAAGAGGGCAGAAAGGAGATGGATCTATTGGTTGGGGACTAGAGAACCATTTGGCCTCAATAAAAAATCGAACTAACCAACTAGCCCTGGCCCCAGCCCTAACCCTAACCCTAACCCTAGCTCTGGCCCTAACCCTAACCCTAGCCCTAACCCTAACCCTAACCCTAACCCTAGTCCTGGCCCTAACCCTAACCCTAACCCTAGCCCTAACCCTAACCCTAACCCTAGCCCTAACCCTAACCCTAACCCTAGCCCTAACCCTAACCCTAGCCCTAACCCTAACCCTAACCCTAGGACAGTTAAATTAAATATATTAATTTTAAATAAATAAATAATACATAAATAAATAAATACATTTGTTAATAAATACATGGGATATAGATCATTATTATATAGTAAAGGGTTAAAAGTAATAAATAGTTAAGGGCTTAAAGTTTAAAATTTAAAAAGGGCACATGATAATATTTACAAAAATAACAAAATTCATTGTATTTATTCGCCAGAGACTATAAAAGGGAGCAGTGGGTTGGGCTTATTCATTTCCACTCAGAAGCTTGAGGAGAGAACATCTCTTAAAATTAACAGCCAGCATCCTTGATTTTGTTTATTTAGAGACAGTTTTTTGTTTTGTTTTGTTTGTTGTGTGCCAGAGGACCTGAAGAAGACCCACAAGGGGTCGAAACGTTGTCGTGGGCACACAAATTTTATTGTACATAGTTTATTTAGAAGAAAAAAGAAAGTTTCCGCCAGCAATCCTGGGACCGTAGGGACGGGTACGGTTGGGGGAAGGCCCGTGCATTCCCCGCTCCTTATGGGAGACGGGATAGAGTCCCCTCACCTAACCCTAAACCCTAACCCCTAACCCTAACCCTAACCCCTAACCCTAACCCTAACCCCTAACCCTAACCCTAACCCTAACCCTCGGGATCAAATCTAACCCTAAACCTATCCCTAACCCTAACCCTAACCCTCGGGGATAAAATCTAACCCTAACCCTGGCCCTAACCCTAACCTCTCTAACCCTAGCCCTGACCCCTAATCCTAACCTTTAAAAACTAATAATTTATTTTACTTTATTCTTTTTAATCCATTATTGATTATTACATTTCATAATAGGCTAAAAATAGTAATGATTTTACACTAAAACCATAAATATTACAAATATATATCTCATCTAAAATTTAAAAAGGGAATTAGGGGTTAACATAATTACATCTGTCTTTAAAACTTCAATTTCATTACAAATTTAATGGGCAAACGTTAAAATTGGGCATTACAATTATAATTCATTAAATTAAATAAGTTAAAAAGAGGATAAAAAATTCTAATTGGGCATTACAATTATAATTCATTAAAATTAATCTGTTTAAAGAGGGTAAAAACATTCAAATTGGCCATTAACATTCATGTCATCTAATTTCAGTTGGCATTTATGGGGTTAACTGCACCCAGAGAGCACACAGACGGCCGGGGGCCGTCTGGGTCATTGGTGTGCAGCTGCGCTCTGCTCTTTCCCACGCCCCTATAAATAACTCACGCACTCACAGCTTACTCCTCTCACTTCTCATATGTCTCATGAAGAGAAAGCATCTCATCAACATACTAAAACAAGTCCAGACATATCCCTTTCTGTGCCCATAGCCTGAAGAAGACCCAAGCGGGTCGAAACGTCGCGACTGGGCACTTTTTTCATCCTTTATTCTTCAATTCTTCATTTTCATACACATTTTATTTCGTTTTTATAAGTTTTATTTCATTTTATTTCATTTTTATTACACAAAAAAAACAAAAAAGCATAAAAAAATAAGAACAATTCATTTGTATTGTTATACTGTTTTGGTTTTAAATACCTTGATTTGAATAAATAAATAAATTAGATAGATAGACACACCAATAAATAAATAAATAGTTTAGTAAATACACCACATTAATAAATAGTAATAAATAATTAAAAAAGATTAAAAAACAATTATGACTTATGAGCAAGAACAATGGACTGAAGTGCGATACGGGAGAAGGCGTGGTCGACGCCCGTATCGCACTGATCAGCAATATCAAACGGGGTCGTGGGGGACGGGGAACAGGGGGATGGACCGTGCACCTCCTGTCTCCTATTCTAGGAGACAGTCCCCCTTTTCCCGTAAACCTAACCGGCCTGTGCCTCCCCCACGGTTCTCTGCTCCCTCACGTCCCCGCAGACCAGGACCTCCTCCTCACTATCGACCCAGATTTTGGGGACCTCAATCAGGGTCCTATGCATCTGTGTTACACCAGGGAAACCCCACCCGCAACCAGGGGGGATTTCCTTACAGGCGCCCTTATTATCACCAAAACACCACACAACAGAGCAGACCCATGCCTGCTCCAAGTGCACAGCAAGCACCCGTACATGACCCCCAATTCGGACAGCTGGTTAGAAAATTGCACACTATCATTAAAATGGTACACCACCTACAAAGGACCTGAAAAACAGGATCCAAAAATGATAGCACGTATGGTGGATAATTTGGCAACCATGATTAAACCAGCTAATCCAACAACCTACACGCTGGATATGATCATGGGGAACGCTAAGAACTGGGGCCACACTACACTGCTCATTCTCCAGGACCATTACACCGCTGAGCTGGAGAAAATGCAGGGAGATCTTTCAAAAGAGCCACCTTAAGAGTGGAAAAGCGCCTTCACTGTGGCCACGAGATGGGCTCGAAAGAATCTGTTTCGCATAAAACAGGAGGTTATTGACCACGCGGAGGCTCTGATAGCCTCCTGTGTGAAGCCTGATGCAGCACAGGACAGACAGGCAGCCCCTTCTGAGCCTGCTGCTGCACAGGAAAAACAAAACAATGATCAGCATCACTCACCATCAGCTTCGACCAGGAACAGACGCCGGAGTCAGGAGGATCCATCTCAGGTGCAGTTCCTGGAGGAGGTTGTGGTTCCCACCGAGGAGCCTGCTCCACAATCTGTGGAAAAACATGTACACACAAAGCAGACACCACAACAAAAAACACAGTCAGCACAAGCACAACAACAACAAAACAAAACACCACCACAACAACAACGACAGAAAACACCACCACAACAAAACAAAACACCTCAGACTTTTCCAAAGTCCAGGACCCCGGAGTTCACTCCCTCCCAAAAGGCTTTTTGGGAGGATATTATACAGGAGCTGACACCAAGCACAGAAATGACCTCCACACCGATCACTAAGCCAGGCCTGGGCAAAACAGCTCAGGTTCGGAGTGAGATTTTGGGAGAAAACACAGAGGGGGAACTCCATCTTAGCCCCACAAATCCTTTCAGGGCTTCTCCCAAAGAGCAGAGGACCAAGCGTCCTTTTCAGGGTCAGACTCCAGTCCACACACCACACACAGAACCACAACATAACAAACAAAATGAGAAACAAACACCTACAAACACTACAAAACAGTACTCACACATAGGGGAAGATCAGGCCACGGAACTGGACACAACTCCAGTTCTGTCTCCACAAAAAATCTGTGTCACCGCACAGGTTCATAGAGATCCGGTCGAAACACAGAACTCCCCATTGGAGCTGGACAGGGAGCTTCTGGAGTTTTTGGAGGGCAGTCCTCCCTCTCCCCCAAAACCTACAACATACAAACCAAAAAGACACATTAACACGGACAAGAAAATGACAGACTGGAGCCTGACTGTGACCAAAAAATGGCTGTTCATTGGTGACTCCAACCTGGCCAGGATGCCAATGCATTCTATTCCAGACCTACAGATAGACAGCTATCCAGGGGCTAACTTTCGCCACGCACAGGGCATTCTGTCCAACGCAACCAGTGAGGTAACAGTGGAGAAAGTGCTGCTCTCATTTGGTTTGAATGCTAGAGCACAAAAAGTGAAGGAGACATCCATAAAGCAGCTACAAGCAGCAGTCAGATTGGCCAAAAACAAATTCCCATACGCAGAGATCTGGATCCCAAAAATTAACTATTCTTCATTCCTACCGACCCAGGAAAAACTAAATCTACAGCTGCTGAACGCCTACATATTCAGAAACATGCCGTACATCGAGTCTCTAGAAAGAGACAAGTTTCTGACAGAGGTGGACCACATACATTGGACAAGAACAACAGCTAAATCAATGTTTGACCACTGGGTCAGCCATTTAAACTTAAAAGCCCCTTAAGCCAGGAGACGGAGGGGCACGAGGGGCTACAGCCCCTTTCGTCACAAAATGTCATCATATTAACCAAAACATTCACTCCCACCCAAGCCCAATTAGATCTATTAAATCGAGGACTCACCTTCATACCTACCTTAGATTCGAGAAAACATCAAAAAAATCAATTAAAATTGGACATTCAAAATTATCAGACGATTAAAATTAGCCACATATTTTAATGATGACCAAATTAGTACAATTAAACCATTTACACCTACATCAATTTGGACCCCACCCTTAGAAAAATTACCAGAGGAAATCCACACATTAATTCATAAAGACAATCAGGATCTTAAATATTATTTTAAATTCTATTTGGAAAAAACAAATTTGACACAACAAGAAATAAAGGCACTTAAAGAGCTAAGGAAAAACAATGAAATAATTATTAAACCTGCGGATAAAGGAAGCGTAGTTGTGATCATGGGACGAGATCAATATGTTACAGAAGTTTGGCGCCAATTAAACGATAAAAAATATTATAAAAAATTAACAGAGCCACTTTATTTGAAAACAGTTCCAATCGTCCATGATATCATCGACACTTTAAAAACCAAGAAATACATTAATAAAAAACAGGCACAGTACCTCAAGGGTGAAGGAGAACCTCGGGAAAGGAGATTTTATATTCTGCCAAAAGTTCATAAAGATCCAGAGAAATGGACAGTACCATTTGAAATACCTCCAGGCAGACCAATTGTTTCAGACTGTGGGAGTGAAACCTACCATACGGCAGAATTTATTGATTACTATCTAAATCCCTTGTCCATGCTCCATGCCTCGTATGTAAAGGATACATATCATTTCATTGACATTATTAAACAATTGAGGATCCCACAAAATTCATTATTCTTTAGTTTAGATGTAGATAGCTTATACACAAATATAGACATACAGGCAGGAATAGAAACAGTTAAAAATATTTTTAGGGAACACCCAGATAATGATAGGCCAGATGAAGAATTAATTAAATTATTAGATATTAATTTGACTAGGAATGATTTTGTTTTCAATGAGGAGTTTTATTTACAAATTAAGGGAACAGCAATGGGTAAAAAATTCGCCCCAGCTTATGCAAATATTTTTATGGCAAATTGGGAGAAGGAAGTCTTGGCAAAATGCCAAAAGAAACCTCTCCATTACCTCAGATATCTGGATGATATTTGGGGAATTTGGTGTTATTCCCGTGCAGAATTCGAAGAATTCATGCAAATTTTAAATGCTCATGATCCCTCAATACAATTAAAATATGAAATCCATGAAGATAAAATTGATTTCTTGGATACAACAGTGTACAAGGGGTCATCGTTTTCTTTAGATGGTAGTTTAGACATCAAAGTATTTTTCAAAAAAACAGATACTCACGCCTTACTGTTCAAAACCAGTTTTCATCCAAAGCACACCTTCAAAGGTCTAGTTAAATCACAGTTATTACGATTTCATCGGATTTGTACACAACAAAAGGATTTTTGGGAAGCTGTAAAAATTCTGTTTGTAGCATTAAGAAAGAGGGGTTATTCTAGGTCATTTTTGAGGCAATGTCTAAAATCATTTAAAGAAACAAAAGCAAAAATTACAAACAAAAAGATTATTCCTTTAATTACCCAATATTCCACAGTGACTAAAATTATTAATAGACAGATTAAAAATAATTACAAACACTTAATTGGAGATCCAGGGTTATTAGAAAACCACCAAATTATTTTAGCTTATAGAAAAAGTAAAAATTTAAAAGACATTTTAGTACGGGCCAAATTAAATCAGGTACAACCAATTGATACAAACCCCAAATCTAATTTTTTCCAAACATTGACCTATGTAACAAACAAATTGGATAAAACAATGTTCAAAATCAAACAAAAATTTACATTACAAACTAAAAACTGTGTTTATATTATAATTTGCAACAAATGTGGAAAGCAATACATTGGAGAAACAAAAAATACGTTACGAACAAGAATGTGGCAACATAGGTACAATATAAAAAATCAAAAAGAAACTAATACTCCCCTTGTACAACATTTTATTGTCCACGGCATTGAGGCCATCAGGATGGCAGGGATCCAGAGTAATTTACTCTGGACAGATAAAGATCGGAAAAACATGGAGAGGAGATGGATTTATCTATTACAAACCAAAGAACCAATTGGCCTCAATATCAAATTTTAATTAGTTTTTGTTACATCTACGTGTGATTAGGGGCTCCAATGCCTAACCCTGACCCCTAATCACTAACCACCAACCCCTAATCACTAACCACCAACCCCTAATTACTAACCCCTGACCCCTAATTACTAACCCCTAGCCCTAATCTAACGCCTAACCAGAATCCTAACCCTAACCCTAACCCTCGGGGATCAAAAATCTAACCCTAACCCTAACCCTAACCCTAACCCTCGGGATCAAATCTAACCCTAAACCTATCCCTAACCCTAACCCTAACCCTCGGGGATCAAAAATCTAACCCTAACCCTAACCCTCGGGATCAAATCTAACCCTAAACCTATCCCTAACCCTAACCCTAACCCTAACCCTAACCCTCGGGGATAAAATCTAACCCTAACCCTGGCCCTAACCCTAACCTCTCTAACCCTAGCCCTGACCCCTAATCCTAACCTTTAAAAACTAATAATTTATTTTACTTTATTCTTTTTAATCCATTATTGATTATTACATTTCATAATAGGCTAAAAATAGTAATGATTTTACACTAAAACCACAAATATTACAAATATATATCTCATAATTACATCTGTCTTTAAAAATCCAAATTCATTACAATTCTAATTGGCAAACGTTAAAATTGGGCATTACAATTACAATTCATTAAATTAAATAAGTTAAAAAGAGGATAAAAAATTCTAATTGGGCATTACAAATATAATTCATTAAGATTAATCTGTTAAAAGAGGGTAAAAACATTCAAATTGGCCATTAACATTCATGTCATCTAATTTCAGTTGGCATTTATGGGGTTAACTGCACCCAGAGAGCACACAGACGGCCGGGGGCCCCGTCTGGGTCATTGGTGTGCAGCTGCGCTCTGCTCTTTCCCACGCCCCTATAAATAACTCACGCACTCACAGCTTACTCCTCTCACTTCTCATATGTCTCATGAAGAGAAAGCATCTCATCAACATACTAAAACAAGTCCAGACATATCCCTTTCTGTGCCCATAGCCTGAAGAAGACCCAAGCGGGTCGAAACGTCGCGACTGGGCACTTTTTTCATCCTTTATTCTTCAATTCTTCATTTTCATACACATTTTATTTCGTTTTTATCACTTTTATTTCATTTTATTTCATTTTTATTTCACAAAAAAACAAAAAAGCATAAAAAAATAAGAACAATTCATTTATTTTGTTATACTGTTTTGTTTTTAATACCTTGATTTGAATAAATAAATAAAACACCAATAAATAAATAGTTTAGTAAATACACCACATTAATAAATAGTAATAAATAATTAAAAAAGATTAAAAAACAATTATGACTTATGAGCAAGAACAATGGACTGAAGTGCGATACGGGAGAAGGCGTGGTCGACGCCCGTATCGCACTGATCAGCAATATCAAACGGGGTCGTGGGGGACGGGGAACAGGGGGATGGACCGTGCACCTCCTGTCTCCTATTCTAGGAGACAGTCCCCCTTTTCCCGTAAACCTAACCCTAACCCCTAACCCTAACCCTAACATCCACATGTGATTAGGGGCTCTAATGCCTAACCCTGACCCCTGATCACTAACCACCAACCCCTAATCACTAACCACCAAACCCTTATCACTAACCCCTGACCCCTAACCACTAACCCCTAGCCCTAATCTAACGCCTAACCAGAATCCTAACCCTAACCCTAACCTTCGGGGATCAAAATCTAACCCTAACCCTAACCCTAACCCTCGGGGATCAAACATCTAACCCTAACCCTATCCCTAACCCTAACCCTAACCTTCGGGGATCAAAATCTAACCCTAACCCTATCCCTAACCCTAACCCTAACCCTAACCCTCGGGAATAAAATCTAACCCTAACCCTGGCCCTAACCCTAACCCTAACCTCTAGATCTTGCCCTAAACCTAACCCTAGCCTTAATCCTAACCCTAACCTCTCTAACCCTAGCCCCGACCCCTAACCCTAACCTTTAAAAACTAATAATTTATTTGTACTAATTATTTTTAATTCATTATTAATTATTAAACTTCATAATACGCTAAAAATAGTCATGATTTGACATTTAAACCATAAATATTAAAAATGCATATCTTATCTAACATTTAAAAAGGATTAAGGGCTAAAAACACTACAACTATCTTTAAAATTCAACTTCATTAAAATACTAATTGGCAATTATGGATCTAAAAGACTAAAGTTTCAATGGGGCATTAAATTACAATTCATTTTCAATTAATCTGTTAAAAAGAGGGGAAAACATTCTAAATTGGGCCTTAAAATTACAATTAATCAGCTAAAACAGGGTAGAAATTTCTAAATTGGGCATTACAATTACAATTCATAAAGTTTAATCACTTAAAAAGAGGGTAAAAAGTTCTAATTAGGCATTAACATGCAGGTCATTTAATTTTAGTTGGCATTTATGGGGTTAACTGCACCCAGACGGTATCCAGACGGCCGGGGGGCCCCCGTCTGGCTCTGCTCTCTCCCACGCCCCTATAAATAACACACGCACACAGAGCTCTGTTTCTTCACTTCTCATATGTCTCCTGAAGAGAAAACATCTCCTACACACACTAAAACAAGTCCAGACATATTTTCTTTTGTGCCCATAGCCTGAAGAAGACCCACAGCGGTCGAAACGTCGCGACTGGGCACTCTTTATCACACCTTTTCTTTATTTCTTCCTCCTCATAGGCATTTTATTTGGTTTTCTTTCTTTTATTTCATTTTGATTTCAGAAAAAAACAAAAAAAAGCATAAAAAAATAAAAGAACAATTCATTTTTTT